GTCAAAGGCGAAAGGCCTAATCTCCGAGGTATCAAAAGGCCTATCCTCTGCATGACCATCGGAGTGACAATAAAGGGGGTTAAGATCATGATCTTCCTCCTGTGCATCATCAACCAATTGGAGTAAAGGGTTGAAGTAGGATTTAGAGATCCAGTAGTCATCCTTACTAATGAGGGAATCAATGTTACAGGGCTTAGGGGAAGGAGGGATGTACGGTATAATAGCCAAGGAATCATCCAAAGGAGGATTGAGCAAAGGCTTGGGGTAGAGGATGGGGGAGGGAGGCCCACTAGAGGTGGCCTCATCTTCAGGAATGTCCTCAACGGTAGGCAAAGGGAGGGAGAAGTTGGAGGGAGGGGTTTGGGAAGGGTTTGGAAGGTAGCTAGGTTTGTGGGGTTGAAAGGAGCTGGAGGTGGGGGGAGTTTGGGTTGGGATTGGTAGGATGTCCGGTTTGTGGGGTTGAAGCAAAGTGGACGGGCCACCAACAGGAGCTGAAGGGGCAGAAGCAGTTTGGAGGGAGGTGTTTGGAAGGAGGTTAGAGGTGCTGTAAGGAAAGAGGGATTGCTGAAAATTAGTGGTGGACTCCACTGCCTGTTCCAATTTCCTGCCTTGGCGTCGTCTTCCTCTTACCTCTTTCCATCCTAAAGGATCCCTGGACTTCCTCGCTCCTTTGTACCCCACATCACCGAATGGCGCAACTCCGGTGACGCTCATTCTAAACTTTTTCCGGCAAGCAGATTGGGAGTGACCAAAAATAGAACATGTAGAGCAGTAAATTGGGGGATTTTCAAACCCACAAGGAACCCAAAGGTCCTTGCTCCCAAGGCGAATGTGAATACGGTCAGGTAGCGGGAGAGAGAGGTCTCTTTCAACACAAAATCTAGGCTTGGACGCGTAAACTCCAATGGATGTGTTAGAATCCACCTTAAGCGGCTTACCAAGAAGAGATGAAACCTGGTAGAGAGCTGCATGGTCGTTTAGGTGGGCAGGGAACTGGTTTAGCTGAACCCAAACTAGGAAAAAAGAGGATTCCTTGGATGGAGAGTATGAAGGCGTCCATTTAGAGATGATGATGATGAGACCATTAATGGACCAACCTCTGCGAGAGAACTATCTGAGATAGTCTCCTTCTCGTTTGAAGATGAAGAGTATATCGCGGTTGCTGATTCTGCGCAGTTTGAACTCGCTGAACCCACCCTTGACGAGGAAGCCCTCCAGCTCTTGGATGTTGGCTCTGGAGCTACAACGTCCCACAAGGCTGAAGGAGAGAGGTTTAGCCAGCGCCTGGTCCTCGTCGTGGGAGAAGGAGATAGAGGGAGCACCATTATAAAATCCATGAATATTGCCGGGAAGATTGTGGAGACCGATTTTAAGCAGGTCGGCGAAGAGGGTAGGCCGGTTGTAGTGTGCGTGGCTCTGTATTATCCCCGGCGGCTTCCCTCTTCCGGTGTCCGGAAAGGTAGAGAGAGACACAGCCATGATATATCATATATCATATATATATATATATATATATATATATATATATATATATATATATATATATATATATATATATATATATATATATATATATATATATATATATATATATATATATATATATATATATATATATATATATACATACATACATATATACATACATATATATATATATATATATATGTATGTATGTATGTATGTATGTATATAAAATATCTTAATAAAAAAGTGCTGCAAAGTCTAAACGTGAGTAAACTTTTCATCTAAAACCTTTAGAAGTAGTTTACCAATAAATTGGGAGCGTTCACTTCATACACCTCAATAAATTGAAAAATAAAAATGTGTATGAACAATAATACATTCTAATAGAAAGCAATATCCCGCTTGGGTAGCTCAACTGGTTCAAGGAGAGGATATCGAGCTCATAGATCTGAGGTCGAATATGATGACAAATTAAGATTATACTATGATTAAGAACGTGTTCTTTAGGGTTTTTGAATTCTTAGCTTCCAGTTTTTTTCTAGTTTCTTCTAATTTCTTCCAATTTCGTCCATTTTCTTCCAACTTCTTCGTGTTCCTTCCAGTTTCTTCCAACTATTTCTATTTCCCAACTAATTACTCTAAAAATGATATATTTTTAATATGATTATTAATATAACAACTATTATGTTCATAGCTATAGTGTACAAATTATATTTTTATCTCACTATTTTTACGATTCACATTCATTATTATTTTTTCTTCAACTTTTTAATATCAATAAAAAAAATTTTTTTGTATATTAATCTACATGATAAAATAGGAAAACATCAATACTTTAAACTATATTAAACAATTATGGATAAAATAGTTATGTTTTATTAATTTAAATTTATATAAGACCTCTCTTCCTTTATTACTTAATTTTTTCTCATTTTTATTCATTTTAAAATTAATTTTGTTTTTCATTTTTCTAATTTTTTTTTTAAAAAATTGAAGTCAAGAATAGTCCAGAGAAAAAGACTAAAATAGGTGTAAAACATATAAAATTGTAAAAAAAATAAAATTTATATATCTTTATTCCAAAAATAATAGTTACAATTAAAAAATGTCAGTCATGAAAGAAACAAATTTGTTTGATTACATTATGTGACATTTCTGATATTTAAAACAAAATCTTGTAATATATAAAGTATAATTACAAATATATTATTTTATAATAAATACTACATAAATAAACTAAGGTGCAACGTAATTACAATATCTTTTTAAAATTTTATATTTTAATATTTATTTTAACTTTATATTATAATTATTTTTTTTGCAAAAGTAATTCTTTTGTGTATAAAAAATGACAATTATATTTATGTAATTCTTTTTTTGCATTCTTTCTTTCTTGCTTGTTCCTTCCCGTTTCTTCTAGTAAATTTTTATAATTGCCAATTATATATTTATAATTCTGTCCCTGAGTTTTTGTCTAGATTTGACTTTTTTTTAAGTAATTTTAACTTTTGATTTATAATTAAATAAAACATATATTTTATATTGAATAGATAAAGTAATATTTTGACAATATTTGATGTAATAAATCTAATAAATTTTTTTTGTATCAATATTTAATACGAAGTATCATTTTTTAATTTAAGGTCAAAATTTATCAATTTTGACAAAAAATAGTCAAATGTGGACAACTACTTAAGGACAAAGTGAGTATATTTATTGATTTAGTATTTACTGGGTATGAAAAACATGGATGAATTATACGAATATAATTTACTCCCTCTATATCAAATGAAATTGCATGTGAACTATTCTCATGGTCAAACTTCATTCATTTTTTTATTATTTGCTAGAGTAATTAGATCTAATAATTCGGCCATGTTCCCATTAGTTTTGTAAATATTTTGCTGTAGTTGTAAAATATGTAATTTTTTTTTTTAATTCTACATCTTTTTTCACATAAAATGGTTTGAAAAAAACTACAACTAGACATTGTAAACCGAAATGAGTGATTTAAATTGTGACGGATGGAGTAATCTCATAAAAGATTTTGAGTCTCTCTTCATCCTAAAAAGCAACTTCCCGTTTGATATTTCACAATTATGAATAATATAATTCAACCATTAAAATATTTATTTTTATATACTCATATTATGTTTCAAAATAAAATTATTTACTTGAGTTTAAGAAATTTATCCAGAAAAAACAATATAATGCAAGGCAGTTCATTAGCTGAACTGATCATTTGTTCTAAATTAATAATTAGGGACGAAGCACCTATGACACATAAGCATTGTTTAGAAGCCTACGTGATATTATGCAGGTGGTTAATTCGAGCAATGCCAACCATCCTTTTGGAGCTAATTAAAACGATTGTTTTTGGGGGAGATTTTCACAAAATATTACATGTGATCCCAAAATGTACTAGACAAGAAATTGTCAATGCAACAATCCATTCGTCTTATATATGTAAGCATTGTACGGTCTTGCACCTCACAGAAAACATGAGGTTGAAAACTTTGCTTAATGCTGGAGACTATGAATCAAGGATGCACTTCGTCGAATGGATTGCACAGGTGGGCAATGGAAGAGCTGGTGAACCAAATGATAGAATTATAGTTATCCTAATCCCCAGTGATATGCTAATAAAAAAATAGCGGTGATCCAATTGCATAAATTATGCAGGAGACATATCCAAACTTTAACATGATTGCGAATGATCCACGGTATTTACAAGAAAGAATGGCACCAACATTAGATGTGGTAGACACAGTAAATGAATACATGACTGGCTTTAATGTTGGTGAGGAGTCGAAGACATATTTAAGTTCGGACAACATATGTAAATCAAATTCAAACTCTGATTTATTAGCAGACTTACATTCACCGGAATTTTTAAATAGCATCCATGCTTCAGGCGTCCTTAACCATGAACTCAATTTAAAGGTTGGAACACCTATTATGTTGTTACGGAATGTTGACCAAACAATGGGTTTTTGTAATGGTACTTGATTGATTATGAGTCGGCTAGGATCTCATGTAATCTAAGAAAAATTGATTACAGGAAAACACGTTGGTCAAGAGGTTGTGATTCCAAGACTCGCACTCACACCTTCGGATACAAGGATTCCTTTTTAAGTTTCAGAGAAAGCGATTTCCGATAATGACCTCATACGCTATAGCAATGAATAAGAGTCAAGGGCAATCCCTGAAGCACGTTGGTCTCCTACTGAAAAAACCGGTTTTTAGTCATAGACAGTTATATGTTGCATTTTCTCGAGTGACAAATCGTCAAGGCCTTAAAATTTTGATTTGCGATGCTGATAATAATGTGGTCGAGCATAATACTAATGTTCTATTTAAGGGAGTTTTCCAAAATATTTGAAGTATGTTGTAATTTAGGTCAATTTGTTGTTTTTATCTACACATGTCATTTGTAATGTATTAATAATAATAATGTTTTAATATCATTGATTCTTGTTAAATATATTTTATATTTAATATAATATATTGTGTATATGGTAGCTTTTCTTATGTAGAGGTTTCCTTATTTACACTTTACACCTTTGTTGTAACTATATATACGGAGCCTTGTTCTCCTTGTTCAATATAGAAAATAATAATTCTTCATTGTATCGGAGCCTCGTCTTGGAGCCTAGTCTCGTAACCCCCGTCCCCTAAACCCTAGCGCCGCCTTCTCCCTCTCGGCGCCGCCTCTCTCTCCCTCAGCCTCTCTCTCTCCCTGTTGCCATGGCTGGTATAATGGTGGTTAGTAAGGTAACCCAACGCCAAGTTACGTTCAGGTTTCTTCACTGCCTCAAACAAACAAAGCCTAAAAATCACTGTAACAGAATTGGGAAGCCTAAAAATCAGAGCATAAATTCGTTTTAGCTCAGATTTGAAATCCAGTAGTGTTGTGCTTGAGTCATATCAGAAACAAATTCGCCATGGCTGCAACAGCGATTGAATCCGTAATGCCACGCCAAGATACATTCGTTTCTGATATGAAAAAAGGCTAAAAATCTCAGAAACAGATTTTGTTTCTTCAAAATCATCACAGCCATAAACTCATACACAGACCCACGGGAATGGCTTCATTTCAGGCAATTTAAGAAACCAAATCGCAATGGATTCTACAATGATGCGTAATTGCGTAACACCCCGTCATATTACATTGGTTTCTTAAATTGCCTGAAATGAACAAAGCCTTAAAATCAGAGAAACATATTTCATTACTTCAAAATCATCATATGCCATAAAAATTTTTCTCACACCAGCACGAAATTTAGGCGTTTGACGCAATGAAAGAAACCAAATCACCATGGCTGCTTCAACAGTGGTTAATTCCTTAATGCCACGCCAAGTTACATTCAATTCTTCAATGCCTCAAACAGTAAAAACCTGAAAATCAAAGTAATTAATTTCATAAATTCAAAATCTGAACACCCGTGATTTCTTATACACACCCACACAAAATTTGTTGGACATGAGTTCAAACCCCTTTATTATTTTTTTCTGGAATATTATTTTGTTTTGATGAATGACAAAAAGGACTGGATATTCGTGATCCTCATGCAAAACCGGTTCGTTTGGCGTTGGTCCCGCCCGATTCTGTTCCGGTCAATTTTCCGGCGACAACCGCCGGAGCTCCGCCGGCGACGGCGGCGCCGGCCACCGTCAAAATTCCAGAAGCTCCAGTTCCTCTTCCTGAGTCCAAAAAGCATACTCCCAGCCTCGCTCAAGTTGTTTCGGCTTCAAATCGTATCAAAGTTCCTACGTCTGTTACGGAGCCGCTTCCCGATCGCGAGGTTACCGTCCATCGGGGCATGCCCGTTGTTCGATTCATGCAATCAGAGGTCAGCCAACTAGCTCTCATTGACAAATATATTTTGGTTGGCAAATTCTCTCACGGGCAACCCAAACTGGAGGTAATTAAGCACTATTTTTCTACTCATTACGTCTTTCATGGAACTGTTTCTGTTGGATGGCGGGATTCGAAGCATGTTTTTATTATGTTCTCCAACTCCCACGATTGCACAAATATGTTACTTGAAGGCACAATTATTTTCAATGGGTTACATCCTATGCGTTTATTCCGATGGACACCTGATTTTGATCCGGAGTTTGAGACCTCACTGTCACCTGTTTGGATTTCTTTTTATGGTCTCCCTCTGCATATGTTCAATTTTCATGCGTTGTCCTTGATCAGTAAACCCATTGGAAAGTTGCTGGGTGTGGATAGCGTCACCTTGGCCAAGGCAAAGCCACATGTGGCTCGGGTCTGTGTAGAAATGGACTTGCTTATGCCTCGGCCTAAGAAAATTTTTGTGGGCACTTCGGAAATTGTGGGTGAAGAGGATTGTGGTTTTGTTCAGCCGGTAGCGTACGAGAAAGTTCCATATTATTGTGATTACTGCTGGCGGCAAGGCCATTCTCTGGATAGATGCAAGCTAAAGGATTCCGAACCCCAAAACCCAACGCCCAACCCGCAGCCCAAACCGAAGCCTTACCCGAACCCACTTCAACCCCTCAAGCCCAATAATCCAAATCCCAAACCCCATTTACCTAAGCCCAACCTTCCTATGCCTAAAGATTCCTTACCCATTCCCAAGGCCCAAACTTTTGTTCCTAAAGCCCAAAGACCCATAATCCAAGCCCCT